TCAAAATTAAATCTTTCCTGAGATAGTACGCCTCGAAATTTTCCGTACAGATTAACTCGGTTTCATTCAGAAACAGGTGACTTAGACGTAGATTAAATAATTGTTTATGAGTTGTATTTTATTTAGCTCCGAAAACCTATCCGAAGAGTAATAATTTTGACATGATCGATAAGTCCTTGTATAAACCAAATTCTAACAGTACTAGTGCACTAATCAATGTGTGACCGTCTATTTTTCTATATCATAAAGGTACTGTTTCTTTTTAATTTGTATTATTTTTATTTGTTTTTAACCAGCTTGTAGTGATGTGTGTTGTTGTTTCATTGTTTTGGCAATCGTTTAAGATTATGTCACATTTAAGTGAACAGATATACCCATAACACTTAACTGAATTACAGTAGTCCATCGATAAGAAAGATCAATATTAATATGAACAATATGGTATATAAAACAGTATGATTAATGTTAAATTTATGAAAAGCATATGGAAATCAAACACGTTTTATTGTTTGGTACGTACTATATAGTGTTACAATGGGATGAAATATGCATGCATATAAACTGCATATATTGTCGATTTCATAGCGGCGTGATTTCAGGTCTCATGTTTCCGGACAAATGTGACTTGTGTTTGTTCAAATCGGTAGTTTTGAAACATGAAATCCAAATAGAACCATACGGAACACTTTACTTTCAGACCCTTTTATTCATAAATTGAAGAACTGGGTGGTACATAAAAGGGTTATTCGAACAGAAGCTAAATAGCGTACCCATATTATTGAAATATACAGTCATATGACATAATGGAAAACATTTATGGTAAATCTATAATGGCATTCTATTAAAAACTATGTCTTGCCAACTTTCAAAGGATATTTGACCATACCCGAAATAATATATATATTTGATTGCAGTTCTGAGAGTTTTTGTAACATTCATCTAGAGATTAATGATAAGAATAAATCATACAATCATCCGTACACACAGCACGTGTTTTTGGAGTAGTTGTCACCCGGTACGCTCAAGTCGAGACGTTTTACATCCCAATAATATAAATTGTAGAAAATCTTAATAACAAAAAAGCGGGTCTTAATAGTAATTATAAGATCTACTTTGGTAGAGAGATAAGCAACATTACATGTATTGCAATGTATGAACTCGACTCCATCCGCCGATAACGTTATATTTCTAAAAGATGATGCCATTTGAAAAAAAACACTTGCCACTGGTCAGAAGCTAGATTACCGGTAGTCAACTGACAGCAGTAGTTAAAAAATATCAGACCGATTTATTGCACACGTCACGTGATTCCTGAATACACATGTTTAGGTATGCTAATGCATTTGTTAGACATATATGAAAAACATCAAACCATTCCAGTGCGTGTTTTTCCAGATATCTATATAATAAGGAATTACGAAGAAGCAAATATTTTCGACAGTTAAGAGTATCTAAATTTTATCTGAATTAACATAATCGAAATTCAAGCCGCATGTATATTTTAAAGATATTTAAAAACAATGGTTTATACGAAAACATAACTTAGTTGTACTAAAGCCTTGAATATTTCAAAGACATTCTTTTTTGACAAATTTAACAGACATTTCCTGGTATTATGTCAATGATAAAACAGTTTATTATATGTTATGGCATATCTGCTATTTCGTTGATTTATTTGATTTGTAAATATATCGCTGTCAATTATAGATAATACAATTGTTCTTTTTATTATTATTTTTTTTTATAAATTTTCATTGGTTAATTGGCCTTCTCATTTAACTAATTTAACGACAATGTCAGTGTTAAAAAATATATAAAAAAAATCTTTTATACTTCAAGCTGTTCTACTATATAGCTATATATTGGGTTTGTCATTAAATAAACAATCGCTCGAAAAATGTGCTGTAAGATTCATACAATGGACATTTAATAATGGTGCAGTCATTAAAAAAGCAACTTGTGTATGTTCCAATATTGGTACGAGTGTACGAAACTCGTTTTAAACCGTTACAGTATTCTGTTTTTTTTAAAAAGACATGAAGATTACAAATACTGCAGTGTATATGAATTTGACAAATTCTCAAGTCAGGGAGAAAAAAAGAATACCATTGATAGCAGACCATATTAAAGGCAATGCGTTCACTTTGATAGCAACAAATATATAGTGTTGTTAATTTCTGGGGAAAAAATAATGAAAAACAACATGTTATAAATTGGATGCGTCCGAGGCGCTTTTCTGGATTTACCTTCATCAGGAACGCTTAAATCCGAATATTTGAAAGCCAAGGATTTATAAGAACCGAAACAATTGCAGAGCTATATGACCAAAACTGACATAAAAAATACTTTAGTAGCCAAATCCATCTAAGGATGTAAGGGATGTATAACCCAAAATTAAATATTGAAACCAAACGCTGCAAGAACATGCCTAAGACTGATTTAAATTCTATGTTTTTGATGGAGGAGTAAGAAGAGAACATTTGTTTTGAATGTCTTGATAATTTATCAAATATGAAATCACGGTATGTTAGAAGTCGGATCAGTAGTACTGCATGTTCATTTAAACTTCCAATTTTGTACTAGTATATTGGTAGCTGTATAAGAGATGCGAAAGATACCAAAGATACATTCAAACCCATAAGTCGAAAATAAACTTTTCGGACGACATTTGTACATTTTTAAATGATAAAGTCAATTTTGTGTTTCTTTAGCAATCGTAGATACAGAGATACGTGCAGTTGAAATATAAGACATTCAATTTGATGTCGTGTGAAATTGAATATCTATTGTCGGATAAGTTTGAGGCATGCAATTAAAAAACATTGTAATAGTCTCAAGACTGTAATAATTATGTTTACCTCTCTAATTATTGTACACGTACGTTGGTAAAGACAGTTTATCAGGTAGAAATCATTATTGTCCGTATCTTAGACAAAATTCGTTAACATTGCCTTATATTTATTTGCAGGTCACAAGTAAAGACACGTATCAGTGGTCCTTGCTGGTTCTCCATGATTTTAATTGGTCAATATTATAAATATGGTGGTGCTGTCAAAATGAAGACAATACACGATGTCTTTAGATTACAGACATATCAGGAATTTCCATATGGTAATCACAAATGATCACTGTTGATTTAAAATATATTGATTGTTCAACACATAACGATGCATAATTATGTAACGTATAACGTGTCGTTAACATTTTGTAAATATTTGAGGTTTGAGATTGAGCCTTTTTGTCTGAGCTTAAATAAAGACAAATGGAAAGTTGTCAATATACAAGATGTCGTCTTGTTTTGTAAAAGATTACATACACTCCTGACAAGGCATTTCAGAAGTTATTTTGATACTGACACATTTTTAAAAGTTGTAAGATTCTTAAGATATATAAGTACAGTCTCCGAGAAGGCAGGTGTAGATTTTTGGAAAAAACTAAGGAGGTTCTTCCTCAGGAACAGATTGCTATAGCTGCATTTTTCAAAACCTTTCGGAGTTTTTTGTCAACAATACTCTTCAACTTGGTTCTTAATTTTGGACTTTTTTACTTTTTGGATTCGAGCGTCACTAATGAGTTTTTTTGTAGACAAAACACGCGTCATTTTAATCCTGGTAACTATGATGAATTTATTGAAATATCATGAATTATGTGTAAGTTCTCCTACAAATCATTTTAATTAGGTCTCCAAAAATTTTTCTTGTGTCAGATTGACCTTTCAAAATTTCTAAGAGTTGCGCTTTTGTAAGTTATTCTCCAATGTTCGTTTGATCCATGTGTAATACATATATAGCTGTTATTAGAGATCGAGGTCGTACACCATCTCATATTGACATTATTTGTTCAATTCTAAAATATTTAAAAAGAATTCAAGGTTAAGAAGGCGGCTATTTGTTTAGGAACAAACCCTGATTGCAAATATGTGTAAGATACAGGCATTTGTTAATACACTATCAAAGGCAGATAATCTATGAATCTGTATAGAGTACTAGAGTTGATCGTTTTAAATGGACACACAATCATTACACGATCAACTCTTGTACTGGTTCTTTTAAGAGTTTTGGATTGCAATAACTACGTGTTACACAATCGCTTTTTAATACTGTCAGGGGCTCGAGGTAAGGGGTGCAACATCGCTCGAAATAGTAGGAATCGAGACGAGCAAAGCGAGGCAAAACCCATTCTGACGATTTTATGCCATAAAATTTTCGATCAAAGGGAAGGGTGTTCGCCCTCTATGCTATCCTCCCCCCTCCCCGAATCTGCCACTGGTCATTAATGATTAAATGTAGCATAGACGAAGTCGTATTTCCCAGGCAAAACCTGCATTTTATAAAAGTATGAATACAACAAATCCGTAAGGGAAGATGTTGGGACCTTATATTCATTTACTACTTGAAGCATTCTATACAATATAGATAAAAAGGTATCCATCCGTTCTCTGGAGGAGTTTAGTAATCTTTTCTAAAAAAAAAGATGTACATCTTTAACACAGATCAAAGAATCAAACGAGTTAATTAAAATAAAAAGAAAAATATCAACGGATCCTATATGTTTCGCATGTTACTTCTTACAAAACATATATTTTTCATTTTGAAGATTTCTTCATTTTATTAACTCTTTAACTCGTAAAATGCTACTATTGCTCAAAATAGGACAAATAGCTTTTTTCTTTTCTTTTCGTAAAACAGTATATTGCATGATCAATGTTTTAATTGTGTGCATATTTATCTGTAGGCCGAGTGATCATGTTAGTGAAACTTTTTTCAACCTTATACATGTAGTTGGTAAAGTTAGTTCGTCATACATGTATGAAATACCGTTGTTCATTTCGACAATCCATTTTTATATTTTACACTACATTCGATAACTGAATGAACTGAATTGTTCAAATTATTTCCAAATAAAATATGTCGACTTCTCAGAATTACATTATCAAATTGTGTTTGTTTTTAAGCACAGCACGGAAATTCAACATTATTTCGTAACTCAATATTACAAAATATCGATTGATTATTTTAACAAGAATTAACTGTGATCATACAGTTTTCAGAATAACAGAAAATGCACAAAAAACAAAAAATGTCAACATTATTTACATATCTTCTCGTGTTTGTGCTAATTAAAATTGTTTCTTGCGGAGGTAAGATAAAATATGATAATGCATTTGGAACTCTTAATTTCAATTTTCAATTTAGCAACTGTTGATTTCTTTTATCTGATTACACTAATAATTTATATCTGACCAATGCAAATATTTTGACTTTTGATTGTTTTTTTTTTTGTTTGTTTTGCCAGTTGTGTTAATTTTTTCATATAAGTTTTTGTATTTGCTATTTTTCACTTATATTGTTTAATTTTTCAGTTTATTTTCCGATATTTGTGGCATTTGCTGGTAATGGTAAATCTGTGTACGATGCATGGCGGACACCATCCATGTGGAATGAAATCCCTGCATTCTACCCACATATTGGTAGACGTTTTCACCTTAGAAGTAGATTTATTGACAATTGGGGGAAAGTTGAATTAGTAAGTTAATAGAAAAAACATTCAAATTATCATTTCTTTATTTGTTAATGTTGACAGATTTGTTACTTGAAATAATAGATAACTTACAGCATTATATCTAATATTCGATATTGTGTCAACTAATAAATTTAGCAGTTAAGTTTATGAACACTTCTAGTTTGACAGTTTCATTCTACTCTTTTTCAATTGTGTTAATTTCAAAATGTCCTGATTGTACCAGATTTGACTGTGGATGTACAATCATTATACAGGAAAGACAGTCCTTATATTTTAATAAAGCTTAGTGTGTACTGTTTATTAGTTTTACAAGGATATGGCAAATGATCATAAAGAAAACCCAATAAGAATGTATGCTTCCATTTTTTTAAGGTTAAATTGGAACTATTTAAAAGCAATAAAAGGGTGATGTGGATGACTTTCAATGGTAAAAACACAAACAATATGAACTGGTTTAATAAGAATAACTTGGTTGACAGCAGCTTTAATGATTTGGCGCCATGCAGTACATTGAATTACTTTTCCATTGCCGGGTACATGATACATATTACATGTTTGAAAGTATTGGTTTTAACCAAATTTTAAGAACTAAGTTAACGCACAATAAAAGTTGTTTATATTTTTACATTGTTTAAAAATGTTAACCGAATTGAACCGATTAAAACATTAAACAAATCCGTTACTGTGACTATCAATCCACCAGAAAAAAATAATCACACTATCAACAAATGTCATAATCTGACATATGAAGTGATGTATAATAACTCACAGTATAAAAACAAGGAGACACGGTAACAAAAGCAAACATCAGCTACTTTCTTTATCTGCAGCAAAGTATATAAAACTAAACATGCAGGGAATACCCAAAGCTACTTAAGAAAACCATGCATACCACTATTTAAATGCATTAATTTTATAATTCTATTCTTATTGTTAGGATTTGTCAATATAGATATCTATCTACAAATTAGTCTGACAGCTTCGTGTTGTTTCCTTAAAAAATAACACCATTGAAAAATTGAATGATTCATGTTATAATTTTATCGGGGAGTAAAAGCGTTGACCGAAACACATTTTGTATGAAGCGCTTCCACTTATAATGTGCGCACAATCAACGCTCCTTATTTTAACATATAACTTTTCAGTGACCTGCGAAAAGACTGGTTAGACAGGAGGTTTCTTATTAACAAAAGTTACGCTGGTTGTGCCAAAGACTATGGGTGGTTTGTTATAGCCGATACATACAGGCATTGTAGCTGGGAAAAGAAAGGGCCTGCACCGGTATTCATTTACACTCGGAACCGCTCGTCCAGGAATTACAACAAAGGTAATATGTTTGATGCTATTAAGAAAAAATGCAACCATTATACTTTGTACCAGCAATTTGCTCCGTTTTAGTCATCATATCAGCAGTGTAATTCAAGTATTCCCTTCTTACTTTCGCTTGTTTTTTCTAAAACGTTTTATCATTGTTAAGTAGTATGCACCTTACACATACACAACTTGTCAAATAGAGAATGTCAACAAATAGTATCCACATTGTTGGTACTACAAACAATGCTATATTAATCATTTTTACTTTTCTAACAGCTATTGTAAATCGTTGGCAAAGAAAAAAATAAATAATGCTGTTGAACTCATACTATTTAAGGATATTTTCCATGAGTTTAAATGATGCACATATAAAGTATGCATACTGTAACGTTAGAACATAGGTCTTATAACTCGGGTTTGACTAGAGTCCCGAATATTTATTTCAATAATCTATCGCCAGTAGTCACTGTATTGAATAGATTTGTTTCTATTTGTAGATGCTAATACTGCAGAAACAATGGTGATATCAGTGCTGATGGATATCTAGCAATCAAAGAAAACTAAGATGATGGTCAGCACTTAGCTAAATAATAAAGATAGTCATTAAACAGTTTACGTTCCTGTATTATTTAGACGCTAAAAGCCATTATTAAAATCATTAATAAAATTAAGTCATGTGCATCTACATGTAAGTGAACTCCGGTAATGCCTCTTTGGTATAAAAGTAAGGAGATGAGGTATGACTGGCAATGAGACAACTATCCACCGATTTTCAGTTGAAGCGGATGTTAGCAATTATAGGCAACCGTTCTGCCTTCAACAATGAGAAAAACCTATAACACATAGTCGGTTAGAAAAGGCCCCGAAATGAAAAATATGAATCAATTGATTTGAGAAAACAAACGGCCAAATATATAACAAATAATACAGACATGAACCAACTCCAACCTTTGAAGTACAGGCTCCTGACTTGGGATAGGCACAACAGGAATGTGGCGGATTTAAACATGTTTGAAGGTGCCCCTCCTTCCCCCCTAACATGGGACAGTTGTGTAACAGTACAACATAAAAACTATAAAAATTAGTTGCAAAGGGCTTAACTCATCAGATCGATACAAAGCAGAAAATCTGAGAGTACTCACAGATACTAACAGCTGAATCTCTGAGTCCGTCTACACAAAGACCTTATTTTGTCGAGCTTTTTACTTCAAAAATAAAATTCCTAAACTCTGATGAGTAAAAACCATAACAAAACCGTTACGGTCTATCTAAATTATTTTTTTTTACCAAACACTGTGCACAGAAATCGCACCGAACGTTTTGTTCTAGAAACTAGGACTGCACTCTGATTGTGGGCTATTAGTCACCATGGGGACCATCCGCCAAGTATTCAAATGATTATTTTTTATCTTAAATTCCAGCCCATAAGATAATGCTATTTTACTAAAGCTATGGTTGCAACTCGGACAACTCGGGCATACATTTTATATAGTTGAACTAAGGTTTTGACTGTTATATTTGACCCCTGTTCGTTTATGTGCTATTTAGAATTTTATTATTTTGTCTTTCAAAACTTGTATTCTCAAGGGTATTCAAAACGCATGCTTGGGGTGTTGTGCCTACGGTAATTATAACATGCGTTTGTTTCGATTCTTTTCGTTTTTCGATATAGTCGAGCGTTTGATTTGGTAAGGTTTTATTGACTTCCCCCTTCTTGAATTTGCCTTAGAGTTCGGTATTTCTTATTTAATAAATAATTCATGGGGGCTTGAATTTATTGTGATTTTACCACGGGTTGGCCCTTTATGCAAAATATTTTACCACGAGCGAGCGATACTGCTTTTTTTTCGTCTTTTTTTCCATTGTAGCTATGGTGATGGCTGGTTTAATTCGACTTATGGTTTTTGATTGCCAATTTTATATCACCTCCATTTTTAAAATTGAAGATGACACACTGTGTTTATTAGTTATGCAAGTCACGCTGCAGAATATGATGTAGGTCGTCTTCGTGAAATATTTATAAATATTCATTAAATATATCTGCATCTTCTAAGTTATCACAACACAACTAGCTGTACCAACTAAAGTGAACGAAACAATTATCAATCTGATTAAAATTCTGATCCATATTTACTCGCGTGCTCGTAGAGTTTAACGAAATCAGAGAACTATATTTTAATTAGATTGAACAATTATATGTTTAGTTTAATCAGAAGGGATGACCAAATGATAAAGTGACACATATTTACCATCATGAATTGTAACCTGATTAAGTAAACTTATTTGCATTGGTCAGTACAAAATGGAAAGATTTTATAGCCATTAGATGTAACACGCTTGTTTTTAAATATCATACACGTTTATGATGATGTTAGATAACACATGTACGTGTTAATTCATATTCCTGTTATATGAAACTACTGGAATAGTACAAAATATGAGAAAATGAATCAACTCTCCCATTTCATTATTTTAAAAATAGATTACTTCATTTAGAAAAGCATTGGAAAAGAATGATAAACACAATGATAGTAAAAATGTCTTTTGGTCTTTCGGTCTCAATGATATATTCCAACATTCTTGTCAATTCAAAATCGTGATAAATTTACCCTTTGGCAATAATTACTATCAGTAACCCAACAGAAATGCACATGCAACAGAAAACCCGTCGTGGTGATTACTTATAGAAGTTTACTCCTCTTCGCAAATTTGAACTATTTTCTGTCTAGATAGGTTATACTAAGAAAAATGGAATCTCTAAAAAGGAGAGATGATAATAATCAAAAACTATAAGTTCAATAAAAACAAACAACAGCATGTTCAAAATGAAATCAAAAATATGTGTCCACAGGAAACCCGCACGCAATATCACATGTTCAGTCAACCGCAAAAGTTTGTGCCAAACCCTAATTTGGCATAGGTATTAAACAGGTGACACAAACCTTATCAAAAATCGAAATTTTCTCAGGATCTACTTATGGCACCCATCGAAATGTTCAGGGCAACTTAAGATGTGGTGATAAATAAGTCGCTAGAGATGTCTAAATCGAGGAGAAAGGACGGAATTTCTACTACAAGTACAACATATTCATACCATTTAAGACACATATTTTGTAAAACTGTCAATCATAACATGCATGCAATGTTTTCCCCAAATGGAAAATAGTTTTGTAAATCAACAGTAAGATCTTGAACCAGAATTTTAATTAGATTACAATGAAACAGAGCAGACCCCTGTTAAATATTCCTTCATTATCAAAATCTCTATCGTCCGTTGTTAATCGTCGAAGATCAAGGGTAAAGGCGCGGCTACTACAAGGGATGTTTAACTACTCTGACTACCCATGAGGGTCTTGCAAAATTAGCGAAGTAGGTGTGGCAACTTAAAATTACTACGTTTGAGATCAACCAATATATATTATATATCAATTATATAAAAAAAAAATCAAATTACTTAAAATTTAATTATTGAAGACAATGCTTTGATTCAAATTTGTCTTACATGGTATTAAAATTTTAATTACTGTTATGAAATTAATGTGGTGTTGGCGTCAAGCGTACTTTTGGGCTAGACAGACAACAATATGATATATCTATACAAAATTCCACTATATAGATAGATCAATTGAATAAACCAGTTGCAATGTAATATTCCAATTATATTTCATCACAGATTTTAAATAAGTATGAACAAAGGATTTACTGATTTTTTTTTATAATTTTTGTCGTTGAATCAATGACTACTTTTACATTCCCTTCTTCCATGAGGAAAGTCTTGAAAATTTTAAACTTATGAAAATTGTTTTACCCTTAAGCTTGAAGAGCACAACGTTTATACGTTAGGTTCCACATATGAAGAACCGACTTCGTCCTGTATTTTCATGGTGTTCGTGTTGATCATTCTTTTATCTGCGTAGTGTTGTTACGGTTAGTTGTTCGTTGATTGAGTCTTTGATCTTTGTCCTTGGGACATTGGTGAATAGATATCTCACTGGAAATTAAACCATATCTTCTCATTTTTACATTTAAAAAAGCAGTAGTAAACGCAGAAGTAACGGATGACATGAAAATAAAAATTGCTCCACGGATTATCGTATCGCCGATCTATATCCCTCTTGTGATGGCATTCGGTACATCTCAGTATGATATACTAGTAAAGTACCGGAACCTACTTATGTTCTTTGATGTTGTTACAATTAGAACATACTATATCTCATCCGCTTTAGAAATCAAAAGTTAAAAATGACAATACTGACATATTTATTATGAATCTATAGTTTTAGACAAACAGTCATAATTGAACATTTAATGTTATAAGCATATGTGACAGTGAAACGAAAAAGTAGCTTAGTAAATAGTTTTCCTTTTGACATAAAATTTCACTATCATTTCAACAGATAAATGAAACAAAGTTACATAAATGCACATATATACTTATATATGTTTAAGGGACAAGCTATTCAGTGCACTTGATTATTGCGGCTACCCTGAACCCTTTAACCATATCTTTTTTTTTTTAGATTAGATTAAGTTTACATTAGATAAACGTAGATATAAATAGTGTTATAAATGTTGCAGGGTTATTCAGTTGTCAAAACCTATAAGCTAAAGTACTAGTATTTATTTGAAATGTTTCTTATTTTGTCTTGCCTGTACCTTTTATAGCTTACTATACGATTTGAGTTTTACTCATTGTTGGAAAGCTGTACAGCGCCCTATAATTTTAACATCCTCATTTTTTGGTCTCCGGTGGATCGTTGTCTCATTTGCAATCATATCACATCTCCTTATATTTATGTATTTAAGAACATTGTAAATGGCTGTATTTAGTTAAACTTCTTGATTATCGTTTGGGAAGTTTGTTTTGTTGAAGCAATTTGACAGTCTCTTTTGAATCAAATCACTATTTTCGAAGACTCTGAAAAATTAAGACGTTGGCATATTTCACAGACGCCTGCTTTTGTTGGAGACCGTATGTTGACATTCTTGTGTCCTTTCAAAGAATCAGTCGAAAAAAGTAAGATAGAGAAAAAATCGGAGAAATGCGTTTGTCAGATTTCTGCACGCTTTTCATCGTCTGTGCGAATGTAAAATTAGTACAGTACACAATTTAAGTGAGAAGTTTATAGTTTCGTACTTTTGCCACTAACATTGAAGGGTGCACGGTATGCTGAAATCTTGTGGAAATTATTATCTAAGTCATTCTTTTAAAGTTTTATATGTATAGCTCACTTTTCAAATTGAGTCATTTGAGAATAAAGTTTAGAAAAAAGGAAGGAAGATACACAAGACAATCAAAAACCATCTGTCTAAGAAATCTGTGTTGTTTGGTTGCTATCTCATTAATGTATACTATACAGAACACCCCATTTTAGTCAGACAACATCACAAAGACTGTACACAGAAGACTAATTTAAACATTGTACAACACGAAAATCAACAAAAAAAAAAATGATTGAACTAAGGTGTTGAAGAAAAGATAATGTATTGACACCCATTGTCACTGAATGAAAGCCATCAATACAATATAAAATCACCAAGACATCTATCTGCACACCGAGTTATAATTCACTTGCTGCATTCGACATTATCACTGACGCTCTGATGTGTC